AGTATTTAACTGGCATTTTTTATTGGTATTGGCCGTAGGATTGTGTCGTTGAGTGTCAGCGCGTGCTCCAAAAAGCCGGCGTCAACAATCTCAACTTAGGCGAGACCCTCAGGTAGGAAAACCTTTAGGTTTGCGATGTACTTATCGTTCAGAATTGTGGTTCTGACGACGGCCCCGCAATTTTAAAAAGCTTTTCCAACAGATGAATCAATTAACGATCATTCAATTACAACATTTAATAAGTTGAATTTTGTCGTAGCCACTTTAGTTGAAGCAGCAATGGTTGCGATTGACTTTGCAGTACGAACAGTTGGTGTAGGTTTCAAAGGTTGTAATTAAATTTCTTGCCACAGCGTTCAATGGTTTACACGGAAAAGAAAAAAAGTTTTGTGCTGAATCAATCTGAAACAGCAGACCGTTGTGAATGTGGGTGAACGTTCTTGAAGCAACTGAACGTGTTTCGAAGGTATGAGAAAATTCATTTACTCATAACAGTTTTTGAGATTATTTCCTTAACACAAGAAAAACATGCCAATTAAATTCCCCGTCTTATCTTAGACCTTTGATTTTAATTGGTTGTTCCTTGTCTCAACTTTTACATGCATATTGATAAGAACTTTGAATGTTAAATATCATATTGCATATGGATATCATACATCACTTTGCATGTCAATTATAACTTTACATGTCAATTATCTATTTGTATAATAATTCTAACTTAATGCAAAGTGATTGTTATTAAGTTTTTTGTTTGTTTTTTTTTGTTTTTATGAAGGCAAAATTAAACTTAATCCTTCATAACGTCGTTTCTTCATTATTTAGTTTATAATGACATCATAGCTTTCTTAACACAATTCAATTTAATTGAATGTAAGTTCAATTGGGGAGGTACAAGATTAACGAGTCTTCACATGCGCTGTGTTGGTGTGTGTATGTTATAAAAATAAAATAATGCAAAGTTAATAACAAAGTGGTGAAGCAGCAGATATAGCAAAGAACTTCGTGCAACAAAGAAACGCAAAGTTGGTTTGCGAATGTATATAACGCGAAGGTTAGGTTGTACATGTATCAAAACTTAATTTACGGTGCTCCGATAACAACTCTGTAAATTAACAAATACGAATCGTGGATTTTATAAGTACGAAAGATTTAAAAAATAAATTTCATTCATCGCTTCTACTACTACATTTCCCAAGATAAAAATGTCATCTGATAAAGAGTTTGGAAATAACCATGCTAACAGTGGGCCAGCTAGATGTTTAGAGTTGACTTCACAAGCACATGGTGAATTCACGGATGTTGCAGTTGGAGGTGCAAAAGAGGCAAGCACCGATTCTGAAGATGCCCAGGAGAAAAAAATGAAAGAAAGGAACCAAAGGATGGAAGAAGAAATTAAGAAATCTGAACTTCTCAACAAAATAATTATCACTCCAACCATTACATCAGCCACATCTGAAGTCGATGGACGATCCATATGGGTCGGCAACGTAGACTATGGGGCTACATTGGAAGGTTTGAATAAACACTTCGAACAATGTGGTGTCATAATGAGAACGAAAATTCTACGTGACAAAATTAGCGGCAAGTCTAAGG